GGGAACCCCGCGGCTTCGCATTAAGGGTGAAGCCAAACGAGCGTAATTTTGTGAGTTGTGGGTCGCTTATTTTCGGTCACTTATTTTACGTTCAACTGAATTTCTGTTGAGCTGCCATACGAACGTAATTTATTCAGTTACTATTGAGCGTTAGTACGGGGTGTTAGTGTCGTCGAGTGTAATGGATCCATTAAAAATATTGAAGCATATTCAGAAGATGAGGCCAGAAAAAGAAACTGGGTAAACCCACTGAATAGTCGGAGGCTGATATGTGGACAGTTCCATACTTTATATGAACGTTTATGTGCAAATCCAGATATGTTTAAAAAGTACTATCATATGCCATTACTTGTTTTTCAAGAATTATTACACCACGGAACTTGTAACAAACTGTTGCTTCCCCACTCCCCTTCCTTGCCCTACCCTCACCCCGACCGAAATTCGGACGAGCTTATGCGCATTGAGTCGGCAGACAACTCATTTTGCGTTGTCGTGTGGCACCAACTGCCTTTTTGTATGAAACCGAATGCAGCAGAATTTCTGCGACCGAAATTCTGCGACTCACCACTCACAAAATTACGCTCGTTTGGCCTCACCCTAACGCTCAATAGTAACTGAATAAATTACGTTCGTATGGCAGCTGAACAGAAATTCAGTTGAACGTAAAATAAGTGACCGAAAATAAGCGACTCACAACTCACAAAATTACGCTCGTTTGGCTTCACCTTAAGCAGTGTAAAAGGTATTCGCAGGACTTTTTAGCGGATATTATGCTGTAACCCATAAGAGTTGCAGGGTCCTCGGTGGTCAGCCACTGGGAGGTCCGTAAGACTTGCGGGAGCCAGGTGTGAGGTCCGTTCGGCGGTGTGCCTCTTAAAGGTGCCGCTGTCTGTAAAAAGATTTTTTACCTGCGTTATATAAAAAAAGGAGTCATTTGTCTACCAAGCTGTGTATTTATAGAAACCTAAGTACTTACCTAATTTTTATAAGTTTACTAAGTTTAACGACAGGTCCAAAATGCAAAAGCCATTATGTGCTAATAATCATCATGCAAAAAATCGTGACCAACTTGAGTAGTTAAATAATTTTCCGATCCGACTCTAACCTTTTTTGTTGGTTAAAAAGAATATCTATCGAGTCACTCGACGGCTCAGGTGGTTAGCGCGTTCGGCCGCAATGAGGGCTATCGTTTTTTGTCTCACCAGATGGCGCCACTGTTGAGTGAGGTCCTGAAGTGTAACTTTTAAAGTTAGTAAACACGCTCGTGATATCAAAGTTTACATTTTAATACAAAAGAGTCGTATCTTAAACATAATCGCCCATGCCACAGTGTTGCGCAGTCCCGTTTTGTTCGGAAATATGAAGGCCATTATTTTTTCTTAGCTCCGCTTTTAAATAACTGACAATCATTGACACGTAACTCATATTTGCCATAATAAGTCTGATTTATTACTAAATATTCACAACTATTATTTTAATTAGAAAAAAAACGCGTAGTCAACCCGCAAGCTATAACATTACATACATATAACAAATGTTATAGCTTGTGAGGAACACAAGCGCCTCTAGCGGCGGTTTCAGACGCGATAGCCCTCATTGTCCCGGAATTTTGCGCGGTCCCGTGTCCAGTAATACGACCTTATTGTCCCGGATTCCGATAATATGCTAGTTTCGTAACAAAATAATCCAATTACACCTGCTATAAAGTTTTAATAAACATAAGTTTTAATTCGAGGGGTGATGGGGGGTTTGGTTTGATGCATTAAGGGCCCCATATACGGAACGATTGATCTGTACGATCCGTCGTTTCAGACCAATCGAAACGATGGATCGACAGTGTATGTCAAGATCGTTAACGATTTACTTAATCGAAGACGATATCGCAAATCGCAACCAAATCCCATGCAATCATGAATATCGTAAACGATCGATCGACAGTGTTTCGTGTGTGTAGTGGCATTTCTGAACGATCGATCGTTGACGATTTCCTTCAGATCGATCGCAACGACGAATCGTTCCGTATATGGGGCCCTTAAGTTTTTTTGGTGCAAATGTCTCGAAATCGATAAGCCAGCATCTGGCAATCCTAGCCTCCACACTGTCAAAATCTAGATTTGTTCTCCTCTATCCTTGTTAAGTAAAAATGTTTTAATCTAGCCTTGAACTATATTTAAAAATAACAAAAAAGGAACATGACGGAAATGACAAAGTTATTCACCACATTATTCCAATTAATGACAAATTTGACGCCAAAGCCCGGACCTAATAAAAGCCAATGAGTCGACATTACACGAAAACTAGTTTGCATTGTGAATTTGTGACCGAGACATTTAATTGTTTAACGATTGCAATTATTGAACAATTGCCTTTTAAATGTCATCGTTTAAACGAAATGGTTGTCAAGGAAAAAGTGATCTGTTACTGTTCAAAGAATTAAAACTTTCAAGTTAAAGTTGTTGACGTGCCGAAAGTAAAAACTATCATCAATCATCAAATCATCATTAGGGTTTTAAGAAACCCTTCGAATTCTGCGTCTTTTGAGCTCTCAGACGTCCTCGTGGCCGCACCTTGCGTCGCGCAAAACTCGCGACTAAGGGCACCTCTGCAGCGTCAACCTTCATCAATATCGAAAAAAGTGTAATGACCTAAAATGTTCCTCATCTCAATACCGAGTGGTCTTTTTTCATATTTTTGAAATTCGGTTCCGTTATTGAGATCTCGGAAATTTTCTGTGAAAACACAGGATTTTTCGCTCGAAAAAGTCGTCTTTTTCGATTTCCAAAAAAGTTTTTGACTTTTCCTAAATATTTTTTACATCTTCTTTAAGCCCTTCAAATTCCACGTCTTTTGAGCCCTCATACGTGCTCGTGGCCCTAAACCTCGGGGTATCACGGGCGACTCGCACTTTCAGCGAAAATGGGGGCCCCCATTACTGGAGCGAACAAAAAAACATTTTCAATGTTAAAAGTATGAATGAGTAGCTTGTTGGCAGGTTGCATTTGACATTCGATCGCTTTTCGATTCGGTATCGTAAAGTTATCTAAGCATACAATGGGCCCGCGTGGTGAGTCATGGCCTATTCTCCCTATTCCATCAATAGGGAAGGCCTGTCCCCCAGCAGTGGGGACATTAATAGGCTGATGATGATAATAGTTTGTTTGAATATTACATATAGATTAGCCAAAAGTTTGTTTTAGGTTATAATATATGAAGGGTCCGAATGACTGTCCTAGCTAGGTAGGCGAGTTGCGAAACCATTGCTGCAAGCTGTACTGCGGTTGGCGCTCTAGATTGTAATGTAGGTGAGCAAAACCTGTTTGCGAGCGAAGTTCAACCGCCAACCGCGGAGCAACATGGTGACACAACAAAGAAATGACATACAAAAATGCTGAATTTGTTAAACTTTGTCTTTATGGAACGAGAAACAATTACTTTTAATTCTATATTTTTACCATGTTTTATGAATTTAATCATACATTCTTTGCATTTCTTCATACAAAAACTTTGGTATTTAGGAAAAGAAATCCTTATTAGTAGAGTCTGTGCGGAAAGAGAATGGGCGTGGCGAAAAACGGAACTAACATTAAGATTTTTATTTGGCAATCAAACCCAGCAATCTCTAAAACGTCAAAGTTTTGTATTGATACGGATTTGTTTGTTGTTGTGATTTCTTGTGGTTTTTTGTATTTAATCGTGTCTAAAAGGGGTAAAACCTTACAAATACGGTAGAAAAGCACTACAGCGCCCTCCAATCTAAATCCCATTCTCTTTCCGCACAGACTATAACCCTTTCGATTGTTACCTACCATAAAATACGTAATGTTTGTTTTTTCAAATTTCATGAGTGAAATTCCCAGTTGTGACTTTTAAAGATCCGTGGATGCAGTTCTAGTTATTATTAAAAATAAAATGATGTCGGCTTTCAGTAATATATTCTATCTTCAATATTTAATATACTTTCATTCCGTGTAATAAACCCATGGGACGCCATGTATAGAGTGAGAAATAATTATTTCTAATTCTATATTTTTACGATGAATTTTATCATACACTGAACAACATACCTACTTATTAATACAATAAAGAAATGTTAATACAAAAGGCTGAATGGATATTCTCTACTTTGCCTTTATAGAATGAGAAATATTATGTCCATTTTTTTATTTTTACCATAATGATGCATGTTATCATACACTGAACGACATACGAAATGTTTATACAACAAGGCTGAATGGCTAATTCACTACTTTGCCTCTATTTAACATGATTGTGTTCCCGTTGTCCCCAGGTTTTTTAATAGGCTTACAAAACTGGTTTACATTGAACTTACAAATTAATATAGATACAGAATTCTTCAAGTACCTTGAAACCTAATCGAAGTAAGCACTACTACATGCGTAATGACAAACTTAGAGACCTAAGATTTTATTATTCAGATATCGTTTTGGTTCCGGAAGTACATTCAAGCTGTCCGTGCTATATTCCCAGTGTCCCCAACTTTGTACTATATATATACCGTAGGATGATTTGATAAATCGAATTTTCGCGAAAATCCTAGGGATTTTGTGAAAACGTGGATAAATTGTAAATGGCTGTGCCATTTTCCAATCTTACTGAAAGAAAATAAGATTTTTGCGAAAACAGAGTCGCGTTACTAAGATTTCGAAAAGAATCGTTGGCTTATTATAAATATTATCGGTAATTTGGGTTTTTGGGTTCACACTAAGTTGGGTAAGTGTTGTGACTTGTGACCATGACTCGCGAGCTGAGCAAGCGTAGTAAGAGGCTGGCAGCGGCCGACGTAACGCCAGAAAAAAATTATCAAATCGTTGAATGATTTGATAAATCATAACTGTTTGATGTTCCCGTTGTCCTCACGGTTCATTCAGACCATGAAGGTAAAGGGGACACTGGGAATAATACTACTATATTCCCAGTGTCCCCTTCACAGTATGTTACATAGTATATGTTGTGTCTGATCACGTTCCCTTTGCCCCCAGGGTTTGTACTCGCCATGGCAGTGGTGCTGCTGCTGCTGGGCATCATCTGCGCCGTGTTCTTCGGCACGTGGGTGCGACTGTTCATTGACCATGTAAGTATACCTGAAAACGATGGACTGTAATACTGAATGAAACTACCTAATGGAAATTATCGAAATATTGGGTTATTTTAAAGAAATCAAACTAGCGAACTTTACATAATCACAGAAAAGATATCATGTTTTGACGTGATAACGCCTTATAAAGCGGTGAACACCGGCTGCACGCACGAAAAAGTGTCACGTTCCTCCTGAGTCTGAGCGTGCAAGCGAGAGTGTCAGAGAGAGAGAGAGACAATAAACTTGTCAGTACATATTATGGATCCATTAATAAAAAAAAATGTGTTGGAGAATTTGGCGGTGTATTTCAGTGTTGTAATTACAATTTCGTTTATTGCAAATGTATGTTAGACTGCACTTGTGTGCATATTCCTCCCCCTGCAAAAAATAGCAGAATGATTTCAGTAGTATTATGTCATTTTGGATACTTCCCTCCTGGCCGCGTCGGTCGTGTTGCTATTTGTTACAGATGGATAACAAAGTGATCCTTAAAGAGCCCTTTTACAAAATTGCGCCGCTGCCATTCTGATCGGCGCGTAGGTAGATTTGCACTAGTATAATTTACGGGGAATGTTTAGAGTCTTATGAAATAATTATTAATGAACTAATTACAAAAATATATACATATTTCAGTAGTTCAATGATGGTAGATTGTTTTATGAAAGTTTTTGATAGTAATTCTATTTAATTCAATATCAAAATACGAGGTAAACCGGCATTATTTTTTGGGAAAACTCACGGAGGTTAGATGTTTTTTTGATAATTAATGAGATGGAAAATCAAAATTCTAATACATTATTTTAAAACAAAAACATATTTCTGATGTCGTAGTTATTAATTTGATCTAATTTACTGAACAATTTTGTGAGATTGAGGCGTTTGAATTTGTGCATATTATCGTTTTTAGAAGTAGAACGATAAGTACAAAAAAAAATAGTATTTGCAAATATTCTACATTAACTTACAATACGAAGAATAAATCTACTGTTTACTTCTATTGGAATTAGTCAAAATCTTTTCTAAGGGGGTAAAGAAGGCGCTCATAAATTACGTTTTTTTGCAAAAAAATGTGAAAGGGCTCTTATAGGGTTTTTGATGTTTTAAATATCTTTCCTTTCGCTTTTTTGCAATTTGTGCGAGTGAGTTCGTGAAAAGGAGATGCGAAAGTATGCAAGAACTATTTGATTTGATTTCAGAATATAATGTTAAAATTGCTTATATCTTTTGAAGTAGGTTTTGTTTCTTCTTTCTTTTTTTACTAAGGTGAGATGTGAAATGTCATCTTGTCGTTTTTTTTGTGTTTATGAACCCTATTAAAGCACAAATCATCTGTTATCTTAATGGAATGATATTCCGATTTGTTCTTTACCAATTCAATTATGTATTCTTATGGTTAAGAAAACCAATTAGCCACGTGTTGATTGAATCGCTCAGCTTGTGTCAAAGCTGCATACTGAAACGGGTAAGGGAAAAAACCCTGCCAAGAGTCGGATTCGCATACTACAAGTTTTGTATCTTAGAATGTTAATAACATGTCGTTCCGCGATCTGATACTGTGAGTATTGTGTGTCGGGAACAGAAGGCTTACTCTAATTCAACGAAAAACGAAATTTCTCACTTTTCTTACTATGTTTCTGGTTTGTTTTTAATTATAAATATTTATATTCGTCGTCGAAATATAGATTGTGGTGTAGATTTTCGAAGCGTACTCAAAGAAAGCTTTCATTTCATAGTTTATCGTTGAAATTAAGTATAACCATTAAATTGACGACATTAAGTGTCGCCGCACACGGCCCACACGCCACAGCCACAAACGCCGCCACGAGAAGCTAGAAGCGGCTACTAAAGTCGCTGAAGCGCGCGACAGCGGCCGATTAAGGTAAGGGAGAGAGGGGTGGGGAATCGCGCGATTGACGTGTGGCGGCGTTTTGTATCGGCGCATTAAGTGGCCGGCGCGGACCACAAGAAGCGAGCAACGACGATTTGTAGAGTGTGGCGGCCACCGGCGTACCGTGTGTGGTATAGTCCATATAAAATGTATGAAAACTACATGAAATATGCCGGTGGCGGCGTTTTCTGGTTGTGGTCGGTGGCCCGTGTGCGGCGACACTAAACGTTCGAACTTCGTTACCGAAAGTTCGTTTCGTAGAAAGGGATTAGACCAGGTGCGAGTGAATAGTGAGAGTATCACCAGTGCTATTGAGCGCAGTAAAAGACGACGTCAGAGGGTAGACCGATATGTCTGCAATGCAAAACAGCAATTGTGCTGTTGTACGATATTGATCGTCGTTTGTTCTTTTCCATACTAAATTATGTAGGTATCTATCTTCGACGGCCCTAAGGGGGTCTGGGCGCGGCCTGACCAGCCGCGCGTCCTAGGTGCCGCTCCGGCATAGGTCACCACGTCTGGGGACTGCCTAGTACCCTAGCGCAGTCCCCCTGAGGCGCGTCGCCCGGTCCACTCGTTGGGCCGGGCCTGCCCGGGGGCGTGCTCGGAGATGTGGCGCACGCAGGTGCGTCGGCCCCGAGACGCCCCCATATGGGCGTAGGAGGGTACCGGGGGGTTTTAGTGGAGTAGGATCAGTGTGGCCTTCCGCACTGGTCCTGCTTGAGTCGGGTCGGCAGTTTCCCGTGCCGGCGAGTCCCACACACGCCGTGCGCCTAGTCAGCGTCACGGTATGGTGCGTAACTGCATTTCCCCTCGTCACAAAAAAAAAGGTATCTAGTTAATACAATCAAATGTTTACAATACAAAACGCTCGTTTAAGCACGGCTAACTGCATAAAAAACAATTCACACCGTTAGGTCGTCGTTGCGGCGCGGCGGCGCATTCGCGACTGGGTGCCCGCCGAGAGTGCCTCGAACTCGAGTGGCGTAGGTATGACTCGCTTTCCGACCGTTTGTATGAAGATAGGATACTGTATGATATTATTACCGTGCGGATGCTCTCTGTGCCGAGTGCTACCTAACCATTCGATTCGCCCGTTCCGTCACTGCCGCAAACAAACGAATATTTCTAATCTTAGATTAAAACAAAAAGGGAAGATACTGCACTCGCGGCTCTAAAATGATCCGTTTAAATTGTGGTGCATGAACACAATTCGCTGTAGTCACAATTGGACATTCAAACTCGCTGCATGTGCACTCAATATAACAATATTGCGTATATTCTGTGTTATAAAGATAAAACAATGCCTTCGATGCTTTCATAAAGAACACAAATAGTTTAAAATCAAATAACAAATGTCTCGGCAACACTTTTCATTTGTAAAACTGTAAAAACATTTTTTTTCTCAAAAATCACGGTTTGTCGTGAATTTGTTTACGTAATCACCAGTAGTACGGACTCAGACGGTTACGTACGGTTAGTACGGTTTCTGTCTCGCTCGCTCGATGGAATAATCATAATAATCATAATCAAAATCATTTATTCAGTTTAGGCTGTTACAAGCACTCATGAATGTCTAGAAGCTACGCCATCGGTTCGTAAATCTACGGCGGGAGACCTTGTACTGAGAATAACCGGCAAGAAACTCAGCAAGGGCTGTTTTTTTCTCCCTGTTTTATTATTTACAGAGTCGTCAAATTGAAAAATGACTTCAGAGATGATTCATGAAGTCACCTTTCATTACATAATTATTAAATATACATTAATTGTTTACCTGCATTTTGATTGCTGTGTCATAAAGTATAAATACAAATAGTGTTATATATATATATTAAGTGTGACTAAACATTAACTTCAATATTAAGGAAGTTAAGCCAGACTCATCTCCTATAATGTTGAATGAATGTTTATATACAGACTTGTGCGTGTGTGTAAGTTGCTTATGTAGTTGAGTCGGATCATATTTTATTTGATGCTAATATGAGCGTACCTGCCTAGCTTGCCTTTTTATATTAATCTAAATTTCTAATCCTATGTGATGATTGGACAGGAAAGATTTTTTCTAAATTTAAACATTCAGCAGTTAAATACTAAAAATAAAACACACAGTACGGGAGATAAACGTTTTAACTTCGTGTATTCTGTTCAAGTTCATATAGATCTTTTATTAGAAGCAAGATGGCGCTGTAGCAATGAGGGCTATCGCGTATGAATCCGCCGCTAGAGGCGCTAGTGTAGCGTGAGGTCTCCGAAATGTCAAATGTTATTGCTTGTTGGTTGTCTACGCGGGTTTATTTCTTATTAAAATAATGTTGTGAATAATTGGTAACAATTCGGCTTAATTATGGCAAATATGAGTTATGTGGCAATGAATGTCAGTTATTAAAAATTTGAGATTAGAAAAATGAATATGTTCCCATTTTTTCCGAATAAAACGGAACGGGGGGTCACTGTGGCATGGCCTATTATGTTTAGGATATGGTTCTTTTGTGTTAAAATACGATCTAAATGTAACCTTTGATTTCATGTGCGTATTAATAAACTTTAAAAGTTACAATTTAGGACCTCACTCAACAGTGGCGCAATCTGGTGAGGCAGAAAACGGTAGCCCTCATTGTTACTCGCACTGTGGTTTGAGTTCCTTAGTTTCACATAGTAACAACTTTAGTTCTTTATTTAGTTAATAGATGTCACGTTAAGTCCTTGTAATCGCGGTATAGATTGCTGCAGTGCGTTTCTATAAGTAGTTTCCTATATGAATAGATATAAGATCAAGAATTCAGTACCAGTTCAAGATTCTGTTTGATTTGTTATGTTTATTTTAAGAATACATTAGTTAATTTACGAACAGTGTTGCCAGGTCTCCAGAATTTACAGGAGATCTCCTGTTCTACTGTTTCTCTACATGAATCTCCTGTTATTTTAGAATACGATTTTCTTTTTTAAATTGCATGTTGAGTTTCATTTTTCGTCATTAATAATGTAGATAACCGTAATAATTATAAAATAAATGTAATTGTCTAAAGAAAAAATAGCTTTGAGGGGCGGCAGAAACCACAGAAACACATTCGTTATTTTTTCTTGGTCTTTTCTTGGGGGGGGGGGG